TAGTACGGTTTTTGCGACGACGACAGCAAATAACGTGAGTTGTATTTTATTAGTTCTCAAGTCACAAAGACATGAAGGAAGATGATCTTCTTTCCTGTCATTTTCTTCTCGAGACACCGAAGTCCGAGCTGGCGGTAAGTTATACTGTCGCAACAAAGGGTTTCACCCGCCCCGGCATTCAGTCCATCCACGATAGAGAGTAGATACTTTTAGCTATCGGATGACGATATAAATTGGTATATAGCTCGGCTAGGCAGCTAAGGATTTACCGAATTACGTTAATTTTATTTTAAACGGACAGAGCGGTAACCTTAGCCCGAGAAACTTCTAGGTTTTTTAGAAACCATGTAAAGACTAGCCTAACCCTGTTTGGAAGTCTTAACATTAACTTGGCGACAATTTGACTGTCGCAACAAAAGGGGCTTACACCGCCTCGGCAATCAAAAACGGGTTTTCACTGCGCGTAAACAATGAGAGGTAGGTATCGGACAAAATTTTACCTTCAACAGACTCCAGGAATGGTGGTCGACGAGAACGTCATTATTCATCAACGTGGAAAGAAGACAGGGTTTACGTCTTACATATCACTGTCGAAAAGCAGAAAAACAAATGAATCAACACACATAAAACAATACAGACACAATACACATTCTATTTCCAATTCCATTTTATTTGTTATTATTTTTTTAGAATTAATAATTTAAGTAAAAAAATATAAAGTCTAAGGAAGCGCATGTGGATCGCCCTCAGGGCGCGCATGGTCCAACTCTGGTGACTAGATATACTATTCTTCTCAAACTAGTCCGACTACTATTTGAGGAATATGATCAATTCATATTATGCGTACCATTGATTACGAAATACATGGCTACTAGGCATATTACTACGTTTTCCTCTTTATACTTGACAATTACACTTTTATAGCCAGCTCGTGACTCGGTGATACTTAGGTACCAGTCGTTTAATACAGAACGGTACATCTCAGTAGCAACCAAAGAATTGACATGTTGTGACTCACGCAATTACTATCTATGCTGTGATTGGTCGATATCGTGAAGTGTAAGATACGGTGATTCCACAGACAGAAACGTTATCCTATGAGTCAACCAGTTTACGTCGTGACTCTAGCTCGTTCTGTCTCTTATCTCTGTTCAGGAAACAGACCGATAAACTTACAGTAAACACTGAAATTGTCTCGACAGAGACACGATACTACACAGATTTCGGTCTGACTTTTAGAAATTATTTAGTAACAAAAAATTCCATTAGTTGACAAAACGCTGACGAAAGAGTTTCTTAAAAAATCTCCTTGCTCCTAATCTTTTATCCAGATATCAACCGTTTTTTGGAGATGTATCCGGACTATTATTTCCTATTGGATAAATTATTATAAATTATTTATGTCTCGAGTAAGTTCTGCCTCGCTCAAGAGAGTAACAGCTGGAGAAATTACAGCCTCGCCTACTGATTTTAATTTAACCATATATCAAGACCGATTGTCGATTTCCAATGATCGAATGTAATTGTTTGCCTGACTGCCCATCGTAATCGAGCTCTTTGAAGATCCAAAAATCCACCGTTTTCAAAGATTTTTTATCGGAATGGCAAAAACTTCAGAATTTGTATTGACCGCCATTCAATCATACTATCAAAATACTACAACGAATGAAAATAAGCTTGAGATAATTGAAACTGTGGTTTGAATTAGTTCTAAATAGGCTATTGTTGTTTATAGATTTAACGAAAAACATGTTTTCATTTATTTTTCGCGTTGCTATGACGACCATAATACCGGCGAAAGATTAGAACGTTGCAAGCAAGCTATGAAAGAAAGAAGAAAGCTGAATTATGCTAAAAAAGTGGCTCAAAACGGGAGGTATACGGAAGAGATGTACAGAGGAGAACATTACCAACGAAAGGGAACAAGTGAATGAGGAGGAGGACAGTCAAGCGAGCGCAAGCGCAGGCTCCGCCAGCAACGCAACAGTGATATGCGCAGCCACAACGCCGCCCAGTGCTAACGCTGCTAACATAGCTGCGAGTGTCTCCATCAGCAGCAGCGCAAGTGAGTCCATAAAAAAGAGACACAAACCAGTTCGGAAATACAACCAGGGTTACATTAAATTTGGATTCAGCTGCAGTGGGACAGATAATGAGCCCAGACCACAGTGCGTGATTTGTGGTGAAGTGTTAAGTAATAATTCTATGAAACCATCGCACCTCCAACGGCACCTTACAACTAAACACGCCCACCTGCAAGACAAGCCAGCGGAATTCTTTACAAGAAAATGTGATCTACTGAATAAGTGCAAGTCAACGATCCAATCCAGCTGTACACCCATAGCCAAGGCCCAGGAAGCCTCGTATCGTGCCAGCCTCCGCATTGCAAAAGCCGGTAAGCCACACACAATTGGCGAAAAACTTTGTCTCCCACTCGCAAAAGAAATGACAGAAATCATGTGTGGCGAGAAGGCTGCCAAACAGTTCAATTTGGTGTCACTTTCAAATGACACTGTGTCACGGAGAATAGTAGAGATGGCAGAGGATGTTAAAAATACATTGATTGAGCGCATTAAAAGTAGTAGCTATTATTCCATCCAGCTGGACGAGACTACTGATGTTGCAGATTTTGCCAATTTGATGGTTTATGTCAGAAATGAACATGATGGTGCAGCTCAGGAAGACTTTCTGTTCTGTCAACCACTGGAGACCAGAACAACAGCTGAGCACATATTCCAGCTCCTAGACGCGTTTGTGCAAGAGAATGGACTTGAATGGAAAAAGTGTGTTGGAGTCTGCACAGACGGCGCGAGGGCTATGACTGGCCGCCACAGCGGAGTAGCAGCTCGGATCAAAGAGGTCGCACCGGAGATGCGATGGACACACTGCAGCATCCACCGGGAGGCGCTGGCGGTGAAGAAGATGCCCGATGGCTTGAAGTCTGTGCTGGACTCTGCTGTGAAGAGTGTGAACTTCATAAAGGCCCGACCGATGCAGTCTCGCCTATTCCAAGTGCTCTGTGATGAGATGCGCAGCGAGCATGTCCAACTTCTGCTCCATACATATCAAGAGGGAAAGTGCTTTCAAGGCTTTTTTAATTGCACAGAGAAGTCCAAGTCTTCTTACAGGACAAAAACTTCCCCTTATCAGATGTGTTTGATGATACAGTGTGGCTCAGCCAGTTGGCATACTTGTCAGACATTTTCTCCCGTTTAAACGACCTGAATTTGGGACTACAGGGACTCTCCATCAATGTGTTTGATGTGCAGGACAACATCAACACAATGCTGAAAAAGTTGGAGTTATTCGAAATCAAAGTCAAGGCAGGTGATGTTTCAGCTTTCCCTGCTTTAGAGAGTTTTCTGTCTGAGAACGAGCTGACCCTTGATGAAGGAGTGAGGGACAACATTGTTGCACAGTGCACACCTTGTCTCGCTCAGACAACAGTTCCGCCAGTATTTCCCAGTGATGACCGAAGACAACAGCTGGATGAGAAGCCCGTTCAGCATGGAAGCCTCTGGACTGCCAAATAACTTAACTGTGGCTGAGCAGGAGAGTTTAATAGAATTGTCTTGTGATGAAACACTAAAGCCTGTTTTCAGAAAGCAGTCTTTAGTGGACTTTTGAATAAAGCAACACAGAGAATACCCCGCCCTGTCTGACAAAGCTGTGCTGTGCGGTTTCTCCTTCCTTTTGCGACCACATAGGCCTACTGTATCTGTGCGAGAAAGACTTCTCTTTCCTTGCTGTTATTAAAACCAAATACAGAAGCAGGCTGAATGCTGAGCCTGACCTGAGACTGAAGCTCACCTTGATTGCCCCAGACATCAAAGGACTGTGTTCACTGAGACAGGCGCAACCTTCTCATTAGATTTAGGTGACTTGTCAATGGACACCAACATGTGGCAGAGAGAGAGTGAGAGTGTGTGTATGAATGAAGTACTGTACAGTCGGTTGTAGATATGTGTTTATGTGGTTGTTATTTGTGTATTTGTCAATATTTGTTTGACAAATCACGGCTCTCTGCCCTCAGCCACGTAACTTCCTTGTTTCAATCGAAATACTCGTAGTCTTTGTGTGACAACAGCCGAGTTCGGGCCTTCCTCTTCCCCACTTCAGTCCTCCCGTGTGTTGTA